GCAGCGGAACCGGCGAAGTGATGGATGCGGTGATCGCGGCGCTGCCCGAGGATGCCGGGGCGGAGCAGGCGGACGACCTGCCGAAGTTTGCCGTGATCGGGCGTCCGAACGTTGGCAAGTCGTCGCTGACGAATGCCCTGCTCGACACCGAGCGCAACATCGTGACGCCGGTCGCCGGGACGACCCGCGATTCGATCTTGTCGCGCTACAACAAGTTCGGTATGGATTTTTACCTGATCGACACGGCCGGGCTGCGCAAAAGGCGAAGGTGACCGAAGATCTCGAATTCTACTCGGTGCTGCGTTCGATCCGTTCGATCGAATCGTCCGACGTCTGCATTTTGATGCTCGACGCGACGGCCGGTATCGAGGCGCAGGATCTGAATATTTTCAACTGGTCGTCCGTAACAAGAAGGGGTGCGTGATCGTGGTCAACAAGTGGGACCTGATCGAGAAGGAGAGCAACACGATGAAGGAGTTCGCCGAAGCGATCCGCCGGCGGATCGCCCCGTTCAGCGACGTGCCGATCGTCTTCACGTCGGTGCCGAACAAACAGCGTATCCTCGACGTGCTGCAAACGGCCATGCGGGTTTACTATTCGCGGATACGCAAGATCCCGACCTCGGCGCTGAACGAATACCTGCTGCCGATTATCGAGGAGACACCGCCGCCGTCTACCAAAGGGAAATATATCCGGATCAAATACGTTACGCAGTTGGCGTCGCCCACGCCGTCGTTTGCGTTTTTCGTCAACCTGCCTCAGTACATTAAAGAGGGGTACCGCCGTTTTCTGGAGAATAAGATCCGCGAACGATGGGACTTCGAGGGAGTGCCGATCCAGATCTTTTTCCGCCAGAAATAAAGCGGGCATTTTCACCAATGATACCGTTCGCATTCATGAAAAAATCAGTTTGCTTATTGGCAGTTGCTGCGCGGCCTGTTCGCTGGCCGCCCAGGTGCCTGTATGGAACAATCCGTCGGTCGGCGGCGAAGGCAAAGCCGATTCGCGCCCGAGTTTATCAGCTATCCGACCCGTGAAGCGGGCGATACCGGCGATCCGGCCAATGCGCCGCATTACGTGTCGCTCGCCGGCAAGTGGCGGGCGATTGTTTCGACTACGCGGCAGGGCGGCGAGCCCGGTTTCTACAAACCCGCCTTTACATCGACGGCCTGGCAGGAGGTCGACGTACCCAACACGTCGGTCGTGCAGGGGCTTTCCCCGCTGGAGGCGCTGACGCCGCCGCAACTGCCGGCCGAGATTCCGCTGGTGCAGTACCGGCGGTAATCGACGTGCCGTACCTGTGGCTCGACCGGGATATGTTCATCCATGTGGAAAGGGTCGGCGGAGCCTATACGGTGTATGTCAACGACCGGCGCATCGGATACAGCGACGACAGCCGTACGCCGACCGAATTTCCGATCTCGGAAGCCGTTACCCGACGGGGTGAACACGATCGGGATCGAAGTTTACGGTTATTCGACCGGCAACTGGATGGAGACGCTGCTGCCGCAGTTGCAACCCGGGAGTCTCGGCGGGGTGTACGTCTATTCGCAGCCCAAGCTGCGGATCGAGGATTTCGTGATCCGGACGCAGAGCGATACGACGAAAGTGCACGGCTGGGTCGATTTCGCCGTCGTGATGTCGAACTCGTACCGCAGCGCCGAGAAAATCACGTTCGGCTACGATATTTATTCGCCGACCGGCAAGCTGCTTACCTACAACCTGATCGATACGGAGATTCCGGCAACAGCACCGATACGCTGGCCTGCCGCGAAGTGCTCGAAAATATCTGGAAAAGCACGGCCTGGTCGCCCGAACGGCCGAGCCTGTACAAGCTGATGCTCTACACACCCGGCGGGACGGCCGGATCACCGAATACATTCCGTTGAAATTCGGGTTCAATCACGCGGAACTGCGCGACGGCGAACTGTGGATCAACGTAAGAAGGCCGAACTGTCGGCGGTCGATTACGATGCTGCGGCCGATGCCGCCGCGACCGAACGGCAGTTGAAGATACTGAAAAACCAGCGGGTAAATACGCTTTGCGTCAGCTACCCGCAGCCGCACTGGTTTACGAATTGTGCGACCGGATCGGATTTTACGTGATCGACCAGGCCAACATCAACGCCGGGTTCAGGAAAGACGACCGGAACGTGGGCGGTTCGGTGGCTAACGATCCCGCTTTCCTGCCGCAGTTCATCGACCGGGTGGCGGGTATGCAGGGACGCAGTAAAAACTACACGTCGGTGATCGCCCTGTCGATGGGCGGAATGTCCGGCAACGGTTATAACATGTACAAGGCTTACCAGTGGCTCAAAGGGGCCGATTCGTTGCATCATGTCACCTACCGCGACGTGCGGGCGAGTGGAACAGCGATTTTCCGTTCCCGCAAGTGCGGGATGCAAAAACCCTGCTGGATGCCGCACCGGCGCCGGCGGCCCGTTCCAAAACGGCCGTTAAACCCAAAGCGCCGCTCGCCGATGAACATCGATCTGCTGGTGGTCGGCAAGACGGATTCCGCCGAAATACAGAGCCTTGTCGCGACGTACCTGAAACGGCTGAATTTTTATACCCGGGTGACGCTCGTCACGCTGCCCGACCTGAAAATACGCGCAACATCTCGGCCGAAAGCAGAAACGGCAGGAAGGCGAGCTGCTGATGCGGCAGTTCGCCGACGGCGATTACGTGGTGTTGCTGGACGAAAAGGGAGCCGAAATGCGATCGGTCGAGTTTTCGATGTGGTTGCAAAAGCGGATGAACAGCGGCGTCCGTCGGCTTTGTTTCGTGATCGGCGGCCCTTACGGTTTTTCGAAAACGGTCTACGACCGGGCCGACGAAAGCATATCGTTGTCGCGGATGACCTTTTCGCACCAGATCATCCGCGCGATTTTCGCCGAACAGCTTTACCGCGCTTTCACGATCATCCGCAACGAGCCTTATCATCACGAGTAGACGGGGATTCCGGAAGTGTCTGGACGGCGTGCCGGTTTCGACCGGGCTTATTTCTCTGCGGCTACGTACATTTGGCTGAAATTGATCGTCACTTTGCGGAATTGCCGGATAAATCCATGCCGAGTACGCCGTCTCCGCTTTGTTCCGTAAGGGAAGGGCCGTTTTCGGCTGTTTCCACAATCATGTTGTCGATTCCGATCTCCGAACCGCACGTCCGTAACGAAAATCCGGGCAGGCGGTAAACCGTTGCGGTGTACAGATCCATGCCGCCGACCAGCACGGTGTCCGGCGCGCCTTCTGTCTCTATCCTCTCTTTGTGTTTCCTATAATACGAAGGATACATGCCGCCCGTGGAGTTTCCCGTGTCGAAGAGCATCAGCAGCCGCTCGTCGCCCGACCAGGCTTCGAGGTAAGGGTCTCCTCCGTTCATCAATACGAGGTTCTTTTCCGGCAGAGGGGAGGGCGTGGCCGGGAAAACGGTTTTCTTCTTTTTCGGGTAGATCTGCACCTCTCCGACCGCTATCAGAAGGTCGCGTCCCAGGATCGCGTCTATGTATAGCAGCGTGTCTACTGCGGGATTCGGCGGAAGTACGGCGACCACGGGGTTTTTGTATACGATGTTCCCGACACAAAGGCTGTCGGCGATTGCGAGGCTCCCCAGGCGGGAGCCTATTCCGTCGATTCGGATCGAATCGCAGATCGTTCGCAGTCCGAGTTCGTCGGCCAGGCGTTGCGAAATTGCCGTCGTCCCGGTTCCTGTGTCGAGCGTGAACGGGTAAGTTTTGCCGTTGATTGCGACCGGAACGGACAAGTGGGCTCCTTCAGTACGGCCTTTGACGACGACGGGCCGAATCGCCAGCGGCAGCCGTACGTCGCGTTCGGGACGAACGATCTCCGGCGCCGGGGCGTCGCGCAGCCCGTTCAGGATTCTGGACATTTGCAGGTGCTCGGGAATCGGGAGATATCCATCGTAGCCGACAGGTAGCGCAAAAAGCTGTCGAGATAGTCCGCCGCCGCCGCGTATTTCTTATTGAGCCGCATCGCTTCGCAGCGGAAAAGCACCATGTTCGGAATATTCGAGAAACTCATGTTACCAGCAGGGGGCCCATCAGCGTGTCGAGTGCGCCCAGCGCCTGTCGGGGGCGGTTGAAAGAGCAGTCCAGTAAGGACTGCGTCATATACCGCAGACACGGATCCCGGATGCTGTCTTTTATTTCGGGAAATATTTTTTCGAGCGTAAGCCAATCCTGACGGTGAACAGGTCGGCGACGTTCTCGTCCGGCGGTTGCGCCGAAACGAAAACGGACGAGGAAGCGATCGTCATCGCCAGGAGAAATTTCGGAAATTTCATGGTATTCGGCAGTTATTTACGGCAATTTAATGAATAAAACGGGAATAATCGTCCGGATGCCGAAATAAAATCGCCGTCCGTTGGGACGGCGATTTTTGGGAAAACGGAATTTTTCGGTCGGATTACGCGGCAGCGCGGCCGATCGTCCGGAGACGGAAACGCGCTGCCGGTACGATCAAAAACGGTCGGTTATCGCAGCGTTTCGAGCGCTTTGTCGATACGGCGCAGGGTCTCTTCCTTGCCGATGATCTCGCAGATGTCGAGGATGCTCGGGCCGGAGCTCGTACCTACGATGGCCAGTCGGAACGAGTTCATCACCTGTCCCATCGGATATTCGTTTTGCGCGATCCATTCGAATACGATTTTTTCGGTGTTCTCTTTCGAGAAGTCGTCGATCCCTGCCAGCAGCGTCCGCAGTGCTGCGATCCGCGTCGGATTTTCGCCTTTCCAGAATTTGGCGGTCGATTTGGGTCGTATTGCTCCGGCGCGACGAACATGAACGAGGTTAGATTCCAGAAATCGCTGACGAATGTCGCGCGCTGTTTGATCAGCGCGATCACCCGGGCCGTTTTGGCGGCCGGGCGTCCACCCCTTTCGCCTTCAGGATCGGGCGTACAGCGCGGCCAGTTCCGCATCGGATTTGGCGTGCAGGTACTGGGCGTTGAACCAGTGCGCTTTTTCCGGGTTGAACGGGCGCCGCTCTTGCTGACGCGTTCGAGCGAGAAGGCGCCGATCAGTTCGTCCATCGAGAAGATCTCCTGGTCGGTTCCCGGATTCCAGCCCAGCAGTGCCAGCATGTTGACGAATGCTTCCGGAAAATACCCGTCTTCGCGGTAGCCGTGCGAGGTCTCGCCTTCGGGCGACGTCCATTGCAGCGGGAATACCGGGAATCCCATCTTGTCGCCGTCGCGCTTGCTCAGCTTGCCGCCGCGGTAGGTTTCAGCAGCAGCGGCAGGTGGGCGAATTCGGGCTGCGTGTCGCTCCAGCCGAGCGCGCGGTACAGCAAGTAGTGCAACGGCAGCGACGGCAGCCACTCTTCGCCGCGAATCACATGCGAAATCTCCATCAGGTGATCGTCGACGATGTTGGCCAGGTGGTAGGTCGGCAGCGCATCGGCCGATTTGTAGAGCACCTTGTCGTCCAGCGTCGAAGTGTGTACCGTCACGTCGCCGCGAATCAGGTCGTGCATCCGCACCTCCTCGTTTTCGGGCATTTTGAAACGGATCACCCACTGGTCGCCCGCGGCGATGCGGCGTTTGACCTCTTCGTCCGACAGGGCCAGCGACGTGGCCAGCGGGTGCGCACTTCGTAATTGTACGCGAACGTTTTGCCGGCTGCTTCGGCTTCCGCGCGGATCGCGTTCAGTTCGTCGGGCGTGTCGAAAGCGTAATAAGCGTCGCCCGATCCGACCAGTTGCAAGGCGTATTTCAGGTAGATCTCTTTGCGCTCGCTCTGGCGGTACGGGGCGTGAGGGCCTCCCTCGTTGATGCCTTCGTCGATCGTGATGCCGCACCATTTGAGCGACTCCATGATATAGCTCTCCGCTCCCGGTACGAATCGGTGCGAATCGGTGTCTTCGATGCGAAGGATAAAGTCGCCGCCGTGCTGGCGCGCGAAAAGGTAGTTGTACAGCGCCGTGCGGACGCCTCCCATATGCAGGGGGCCGGTAGGACTCGGCGCAAACGGACTCTGACTTTTTTATTGCAAGACATATTTTTAGAAATTGTTTTTGCGGGATGACGATGTGGACGGCACATGCTGCGGTCTGTCGCGACGCGTGTCGCCGGCCGATTCCGGTTCGGCGTGGTTTACACGGTTTTACTCCGGATCGACCGCCTGCAAAGATAGGAAATCTATTCGAAAGAGTTTTGGATCGGGAGGGTTTTATTTGCTATGTCGTTGCAGGAGGCCGGTTCGCCGGGGGCGTTTCCGGGAAACGTACTTTTATCCCGGATGGCATAACTTTATTTTTGTAAACTCTGAAAGTTTATTTTATACAACACATGTTTTTCGTAGCGGATGCCGGGTATCGAGCAGCGGATGGTCGAATATTCCGATCCGTTGCATACCTGTCTTCTGCATGACTCGCTCCGACCGGCGGTTCTGGAGGGTCGTGAAAGCGTATATTTCCCGGAGACCGAGTCGTTTGTCCGCATATTCCAGGCAGGCGGCGGCCGCTTCGGTCGCATATCCGTTGCCCCATGCTTCGCGGATCAGCCTCCAGGCGATCTCGATTCCCGGAGTGAAGTCCGCTTCGAACGGAATCCGGTGGAGGCCGGTAAAGCCAAGGAACTTTCCGTCCGTTTTCCGTTCGACGGCATATGCTCCGTAACCGAAATCGGCGAGTTCGTTCCGGATGCGGAGGAAAAAAGCGGAAGATTCCTCGGCGGTCAGCGGTTTTACGAAATATTCCATGACTTTCGGGTCGGCGTTCATTTCGGTGAACGGGAGCAGATCGCTGTCCTGCCAGTCGCGCAGGATCAGCCGGGGCGTTTCGAGGTATCGGGTTGTCATCGGGCGATGGACTTGCGGCCGGTTATCGGTCTCAGCTATGCTTTTTCGCGCCGCCGGTACGGACGGCGACTTTTTTTGCCGGTTTTTTTGTCGATAACGGGCAGAACGATCGCTTCCATGATTTTGTAGCACTCCGGATTGGGGTGTACGCCGTCGCCGCTGTATTTCTCCGGCAGGCCGTTCCGTCCGTCCTTCAGGGCGGAGTGGTAGTCTACATAAGAGATGCCGTTTTCCCGGGCGTACCGCTCGATCATTCCGTTCAACTCGATGATCCGGTCGGCCGCCGGAACTTCCTGTCGCCAGCCGAACCGGTAAGCGGGCAGTACGGAACAGAGGATCGGCCGGATTTTGTGGAGCTTGGCCAGTTCGCACATCGAGGCGATGTTGCCCAAGATATTTTCCAATGCGATGTAACCGTTGTTCTGGGCCAGGTCGTTCGTGCCCGCCATGATGACGACGGCTTCGGGCGACAGTCCGATGACGTCCTGCCGGAAGCGCACCAGCATTTCGGCGGAAGTCTGTCCGCTGATGCCGCGGCCGACGAAACGGTGTTCGGCGAAAAATACGGAATCCATCAGCGCCCAGTTGTCGGTAATCGAATTGCCCATGAAGACGGCTTTGACCGGATAGTCGATCCGCCGGTTCGCCGCTTCGTATTTTTGCGAATTGCGCCCAGTCTCGTTGGGCGGAGACTCCGACAGGCATAGGCTTGTCAGAAGGCAAAGGAAGATTTTTTTCACGGATGAAAAGGTTTTATTTTCGAATAAAGGTAATGGTTTTATCGGTTCCGTACAAAAAAAGCGGCGCGCCTTTTATTATTACATGGCGCCGCCGCTTTCGATTCGGTTTCGGAATTTATTTCTTTTTTTAAACGATATAAATATTTTTTGTAAGAAATAAATCGGTTAAAGGACTCCCTGTGCGTAGGTCTTTACGTCTTCGAGCGTTATGTTGTTGTCGCACAGGATGATCAGTCGCTCGATCACGTTTCGGAGCTCCCGGATATTTCCGCTCCATTCCATCTGGGACAGTGCGGCGAGCGCATCTTTCTCGATGACTTTGGGTTTCTGGCCGTATTCGGCGCATATTTCTCGACGAAGTGATGGGCCAGCGAAGGAATGTCCTCGCGGCGTTCGCGCAACGGCGGAACCGGAATGATGATCACGCTCAGCCGGTGGTAGAGGTCTTCCGGAAATTGCCCATTTCGATTTCGTGCAACAGGTTTTTGTTGGTGGCCGCGACGACCCGCACGTTGACGGTGATGTCCTTGTCGCTTCCGACCCGGCTGATCCGGTTTTCCTGCAGGCCCGCAATACTTTGGCCTGCGCCGAAAGGCTCATGTCGCCGATTTCGTCGAGGAAAAGCGTTCCTCCGTCGGCCTGTTCGAATTTGCCTTGTGCTGTTTGTTGGCCGACGTGAACGACCCCTTCTCGTGCCCGAAAAGTTCGCTTTCGATCAACTCCGACGGAATGGCGGCGCAGTTGACTTCGATGAACGGTTGTCCGGCCGCAGGCTCTGTTCGTGCAGCCGGGGGGCGACCAGCTCCTTGCCGGTTCCGTTGGCTCCGCTGATCAGTACCCGCGCATCGGACGGAGCTACTTTTTCGATCAGCCGTTTGACGGAAACCATTGCGCGCGAGGAACCGATCAGTTCCGTGGCGCCGCGGTTCGCACGCAATGCCGGAGCTGCTGACGATTTCCGGGCTACGGTCTCCGTAGAAGCCGCCGCGACGGTTGTGGCATGATTTTGGTTTTTAGGTTCGGTAGCCGATCGGATCGATTCGAGTAATTTATTCAGATTGATCGGTTTGAGTATGTAATCGTATGCTCCGTGACGCATCGAATTGACGACGGTTCCGTCCCTTTTTGCGACGACAGCATGATAAAAGGCAGGCTTTTTCCGTTTGCCCGCAGGCTGTCGAGCAGGTCGAACGCTCCCGTGTCGGGAACATTGATGTCGCAAAGTACGATGTCATAGGTTGATTTTTCGGTTTTGTCGGCCGCCTCGCTGCCCGTTTCGGCGGTTTCGACGCGGAAGCCTTCATATTCGAGCCGTTCTTTCAACGTGTTGCGAATGCTCCGCTCGCTGTCTACTACCAATACGTTTGTCATAACTTTTTTATAAAATATTAAATACTAGGATGGGAGTGTTACTATATTTCTGCTGCGTGGTTTTGGTTTTCTGGGGAAAAACCATGTAGCTTTGTCCGAAAGTTAGTAAATACTCCCGTTTAAAAAAAACACGGCATTCCGGATCGACCGAAGCAGGATTCTGAGAATATCGACCGTAAACACCATTTTTTCAGACTTTTCTTAGATTTTTCGTTTTACAGCGTAGATCCTTGCGGGAACGGCTCGTCGTGGAGACCACAAAATTCTTTATGGATAAAAATTATAATTTCGAAAGGAAGAAACTCATGCTGCCCGAGTATGGTAGGCATGTGCATCAAATGGTTGATTATCTGATGTCTATACATGACCGAGATCTGCGTAACCAGCAGGCGCACGCGTGATCGAGGTGATGGGAAACCTGAATCCGACTCTGCGCGATACGGCTGATTTCAAACATAAGTTGTGGGATCACCTGTTCATCATGTCCGATTTTAAGCTGGATGTCGATTCGCCCTATCCGATCCCGTCGGCTAAGATATTGACCCCAGGCCGGATCATATGGCTTACCGGCGGGAAGATTGCCCGCAAGCACTACGGCAAAAATATAGAACGGACGCTCGCCGCTCTGAAAGCGATCGACGACGAGGAGGCGAAGACTTTGATAGTAAATAATATAGCGAAGTATATGCGGCTAAGTCGTTCGAATACAACCAACACCCGAGCAATGAGATCATCATGAAAGATATACGCTCGATGTCCGATAATGGGTAACGATCGATGAAGTTGCATTAAATAATCTCCGAAACGACTATAAACAGCCCCGAATGAACAATCGTTCACGCAAGAATTTTCAGACGGGAAATCATTCCGCTGGGAAAACGAACGGTCATGCGGGCAACAATAAACAGGGAGGCAAACGCCGTACCGGAAAATCGCAATACGGAAAATAACCGGCCATGAACGACGGGAAAAACATATCCATTAAAAATAGCGGGCGACTTACGATTACGAGATGCTCGACACCTATGTTGCGGGTATCGTTTTGTCGGGTACGGAGATCAAGTCGCTGCGGCTGGGAAAAGCTTCGCTGACCGACTGCTATTGTTATTTCAACGACCATGAATTGTTCGTCGGGGGATGAACATTTCGGAATACCATTGGGGCAGCTACACAATCACATGCCCAAACGCGACCGCAAATTGTTGCTGCAACGCCGAGAACTGGCCAAGTTGGAGCGCGCGTTGCAGGACAAGGGGCTGACGATCGTAGGATTGAAGCTTTTTATCAACGACAAGGGGCTGGCAAAATTGCAGATCGGCTTGGGACGCGGTCGTAAGAGCTACGACAAGCGGGAGTACATCAAGGAGAAAGACGCTCGTCGGGAGTTGGAGCGCGTATTCGGAAGTAATTCGTAAACGGATAGAAAAAACAGCGGTTCGCTTGAGATAGCGAACCGCTGTTTTTATTCGTTCAGCGTAAATAGATCGGAGCCATTCCGCTGAACGTTTTTTTACAACTCCTTGACCCGGATGTTTTGAATTTGACCAGGGAGCCGTGACCGAGGAATCCGATATGGCCCTTTTCGTTTTTCAGGCCCGGGTGATCCTTGTGGTCGATCGTTCCGTTCTTGCTGGCTTCGGCGATGTTGCCTTCGAGGATCACTTCGCCGTTCAGCGTAACGCGGATGTCGTTGCCCTTGATTCGGATCTCTTCGCTGTTCCATTCGCCGACCGGTTTCAGGAAACCGCGTTTGGCCGGAATAACGCCGTACACCGAACCGTGATACTGGTATTTCTCGAGCTGGCTGTAAATCGGGGATTCGTTGTCGAGCACCTGAATCTCCATGCCGACATAAGCGGCATCGCCTTCGAGCGGGGCCCGGATTCCGATCCCGTTGTTCGCGCCTTCGGTCAGCATGAAGTCGAAGCGGAAGACGAAGTCTTTGTACTCGTCGACCGTATATAGGTTGCCGCCGCCGCCGTTGCCCGGATAGAGCACGATCGCTCCGTCTTCGGAGACATAATCGCGCGTATTACCCGTCCAACCGTGCATGTTCGTGCCGTCGTA